ATAACAGCGCCGACTGGACCGTTTTCTTTTACGAAAATGTTTATCACAGGATCTGCAAAACGCGGTGCGTTATCATTAACGTCAGAAACGTGAACCGTAATCACGCTCGTGCTGGAAAGAGGCGGTAGCCCTTCATCTGTCGCCATTATTGTTAAATTATACTGAGAAGCCCGTTCTCTGTCTAGAGTTCCGTCTACGACTAAAGAGTAATGATTCTTATATGTGTTCTTAATTTTAAAGGGCACAGAATCAAGTACTCTAACCTGAACGATGCCATTTTTGTCTGCGTCATAGTCCTTCACCGTTAAAAGCCCAACCATTGTGTCTAGGGGTGCATCCTCCCTCACCATGTTGGCTAAAGATGTAACTGTAATTTCTGGTGGATTATCATTAACATCTGTGATTTCAATGAGAACTTTACAATGAGATGCTCTTGGGTTTTGCCCTTTGTCTTTCACTTGGACTCGAATTTCAACTGCACTGTGTTTTTCGTGGTCCAGCTCCCCATTTACTGTAATCTCACCTGTTATGGGATTAATGGCAAATTTGTCGACATCGTTATCATTGTCTTGGTTAATAAAAGAATATTGTATTTCTCCATTAAGACCCTCATCTAAATCTCGAGCATGCACGGAAATTACGCTTGCACCGCGCGGCGTGTTCTCGACCACTGTGGCTTTGTACAGGGGTTTGTCAAATTCTGGAATATTGTCATTGACGTCTTGCACATTAACGGTGATGTATAACGTGCCTGATTTAGGAGGTTTTCCTCCGTCTGTAGCCGTCAGTGTTAATTTGATAACAGCCTGTTTCTCGCGGTCTAAGGTTTTATGCAGTGCCATTTCAGCAGACATAGTGGGCTCTCCAACATTCTGCACATCCAGTGTGAAATGCTCATTTTGGCTCAGCTTGTAGCTCTTCACTGAATAACTTCCGACATCTGCATCAAATGCCTTTGGGAGAGCGAATTTCTCACCAGGAAACGCTGACTCGGAGACGTTCAAAACAACCTCCGGTATCCGAAACGAGGGCGCATTGTCGTTTACATCCAAAATTTTAACCTCGAATCGATATAGATTCAGCGGGGAGCTCACAATGGCTTCTACTTCCAGTGAGCACTTCACATTTCGAGAACATAGCTCCTCTCGGTCTATTCTGTCTTTCACCAACAGTACTCCCGTCTTAACGTTTACTTGGAAATACCTCGTATTAGGTCCTGAAATTTGAAAACCTCTGGCTTCCAGTTCATTAACATCTAGATGTAAATCCTTTGCCAAATTTCCCACACTGGTACCCGGGCTCGACTCCTCCGTAATAGTATACACAATCTGTGCCGCCGCTTCACTCCATATGTAAAATACAGGGGACAAATAATAAATCCAGTTCCGGAAAATAGTCTCTTGTAGCATTCTCGTCATATCCTACTAACCAAGTTAATTAGACAAAAAATCACACAGACGGTAACATTGCGCGATAAGAGTACGTCCAGTCTATTGCCCTTAAATACAGGGAGGATTTTCTGCTACTGCTGTGACAAAGAAAGAATTACAAACCCGCTGTAAAGGGAGGAGCGTCGAACAGACCCCCCCCCCCCCCCCGTTTAATCGCCATGAGCTATTGGCGACATCTTGTGGTAATTATAAACAATAAAAAACAGCATAAAAAGAGATGCTGAACGCATTAAGGGTTTTAATGGAATAACATTTTGTTTTACCACCTGCTAAAAAGGCAAGCGGTTCTACAGCCCCATTGGACACATTTAAAAAGGACAGCAATAAAATCTCTCTCTCTCTCTCTCTCTCTCTCTCTCTC